CCCTTTTCCCCTTCCATCCTTTCCCCCCTTAGTTTTGCTATAGAATCCCAGTTCAGACCTCCTGCTCCATTCCTTTTAGGCTTTTCCAAGGACTCTCCCATGCAAAGGTTGTTTACATCACTGGACTTTTTTTTGCCAGGCTACTTGATGGTTTTGAGATCTGAACCAATGTCTAGGCTGAAGCCACCAAACTTATTTCACTGATGTCAGAACACTCTACGGACAGTGCACTAACAACCACACATTGCATGGGCAGCTGCAGGAACAAGAAGCACCGGCTATGCGGCACTAGGCCTGAAAAGAAATGAAGGCTAGTCCTTAAAAATCTTTCCTTGTATCAGCCATATTCCATATAGAACTAGCCTGTCCTAAAAAAATTCCTTCACCTCACAGCCCTCCAAAAACCCTTGCTGAGCACAGCCCCAATAACACATCAACTGTCACTAACACTAATCTTGATACATCTTACAGTGTTTACAGGCCAGATTGTCCTCTGCTTTTTCATTCAGTGAGGTTGCAATGAGAGAACATTTTTCAGTGAGAAATTTTTCAGGTCGCACCATTTAAAACTCTGGTCGGCAGGTGGCGCTCGCCGGCTTTTTTCGCCTACTGCAATTTAAAGACACTATCCAAAAACACTAAAAAAATTTTGGGGGGAAGTATTCTTTCCACCCCTTCCCAACCCCCACACACTTGCCTGCAGTTCTATTGGGAGATTTGATTATTCCTAATTAGATTAGTCAGGAGCGAATTACAATAGCAGTGCCGGGAAAGTTACAAATTATAAACTCGGCCTCAGAAGTGGTTAAAACTAAATGAAACAATCAGGACAAATTAAAAGCAAAACACAAGACAGGACAACAAAAAAACCTGAAAATATAAATAGTTATAGGCCCTTTCCTAAAAAAGGTGATCCAAGCTGCATTTGGTTAGCCATGTTTAATAAAAGAAGGAATTTTAATTTTAAACTAGCATTTTTAAAAAGTTGTTGCAAGTCATATTTTACTCATTGCTTCAAAAAACCTAATGACAAAATTAGGCAGTGTTTTAAGTCAATACATTAATTTTGAATTTCAAATAGTTTAAAGAAAATGAATGTATTTTTTTAATAAAAATAATTTGTGTAAATCTAGAAATTAGAAGTTTATTATATAGAGGCTGGGAAGGAATAGATTTTTATTTGTAAGTGTTGGTATACATCAATTTCACGACACATATAAAAACCGATGAAAAATATTTCCACTGAAAATAATTAGCATTTACAGAGGGGCCAAGTATGAAAAACACTGCTTGAGAACTTATTGCAGTTTGAAATTTAAAAATTAAAATTTTATAGCTTTTAAAATTCAAACTATCATCATCACAAGTCAAAACATACAGTGTCTTTAAATCAAACCTTACAGTCATTAAACAATTATTGCCTGCCCTGATTGCCTGACCCCTTATAATTTTAAAATGGTGAAAATTTAAATCAATGAACAATTTTAATGTTCTGCAACCGTGACATTTTAAAGTGATAACAAATGGAAAAAATAAAAATAAACATCAATATTATCCATTGACATTATAAAAAATAAAGCTCAAATTCTGCAGATCCTAAATGTATATATGAGCCTTATGTAGCATGGACTTTAAATTAGGAAGGATTATTAATTAATTGGGAGTTTGCAAACTGTTTAATGGGATCATCTCCATGTAACAAGGGTGGGAATTATTTTTAATCATGTTTATTATGGTAGGACTATGGGCCAAACAAGAGGCACTACAAATACATGGCAGCACATACCTGCCCCCAAGAGCTTTCTAGCTAAATGGACAAGGCATACAGGGTGGGAGCAAAGGGTAAATAACACAGCTGAGATGGTAGCAAATTTTTGTTCCAGGATTTTGTTATCATGTGTTTAGTTAGAGGATAAGAGAAACAGAGAGAAAAGTGAAGGGAGATTTTGCACTTCATTCTGCATACTGTCACACACAGACAATCATATTCATACTATTGTAGTAAAAAACCTGCTCACTCTTCCTTAAAATAAGGGGAGGTGGGAGACAAACTTTACCACTACAATGAGAGGACACATAGCCCAGTTCTACTGCAATAAACATCCTGACCAACCCAACATCCAAAATCACATCTTTAGGGCTAATCCTGCATTCCTGAGGCATCCCAAATGCTCATTGGTTTTATCTACATTTGGTAAATCTTTAGGGCGTCTGTTGTGACAGGGACAGTCCCTTTTTTAAGCCCTGTCCAGTCAGCCCAACTTTTTGACAAAAGTGGGTGTTTGTTCCACAGGACAAGTGCCCACTTTTGTCAAAAAAGTGGGGTGCAGAGGAATCTATGGGGGCCAAACAGCAAAGCTAGCCTCACGGGGAGGTGAGGCAAGGTTCAGGTAAGTCACAACCAGAGAGGGGGACAGTGTTCAAACCAGCAACTCAGGACAGCCCCACATGGGGGGAGTTGTCAGGCTAGCCCCATTTCCTCTTTGGAAACTATGGCTGCTTATAGATCCTGTGCAGAAGAATTATTCTTTTAAGGGGTCAGTTAAAATGCTTGGATTCCCTTATCATTCGATTTCAACAAAGACAATTCAAGGGGCAAGGGGAAAGTCAGATGTGGCTCCATCTTTTTTGCTGAAGAATGGAAAAGTGTGGTAAAAAGTGGGGAGACTAGGTTTCTGAGGGTGCACTAGCTCCATTTGCACCCATCTTCTTTTTGATGTGACACCACAATGGCTTCCAGGAGCGGTTGAAAATGTCAGCAGGCAGGTACCATGCCAAATTCTTGTTTTGCTTCTCCTCCTCTAACCCTTGATCCTTTGTGGCAGTGCTTCCCAGAGGCGCCCTACGCGTGTCTCCGACTGTCTGAGCATGGATGATTATTATTATTTGTTCCCTTCTTGATTTTTGTACACCAGAAAGAGAGAGAAGGCTGTAGGGAGGGGGGGGAGATGAGAGGAATTTCCCAAGGCAAGAGAGAAAAATCTGCAAAGAAAAAAGTGTGTGTGGGGGGGGAGATCTGATGCAGCTCAGAGTCTCTCTTTACATTAATGGGACAGAGAGGCACTGTTTGGCATGAGAGATTATTTCTGGAGCACAGGAGGAGGCGTGGTTTTCCCATGGCTGCCTCCCTTGCCTGGTGCATGACTGGAGCTTGGCTGCTTTTGCTTTTGCACCGCGCAGGAAGCCAGAAGCACTTTGGCACGTGCTCCCGGGGGCCAGGCAGGAGGAGGGGAGCGCGCGCGCCCAACAGGGACAGAGAGGCACTGTTTGGCATGAGAGATTATTTCTGGAGCACAGGAGGAGGCGTGGTTTTCCCATGGCTGCCTCCCTTGCCTGGTGCATGACTGGAGCTTGGCTGCTTTTGCTTTTGCACCGCGCAGGAAGCCAGAAGCACTTTGGCACGTGCTCCCGGGGGCCAGGCAGGAGGAGGGGAGCGCGCGCGCCCAACAAGGGCTGCAGCGGAGGGGTGGAGGCACGAGCACAGCTGGCTGCTGCCTGGCGCCGGGGCTTGATTGACAGCGGGGGGAG